TAGTAGGATTCTGTTCGGGCTGGACGTAGCCCTAGTGGGATTTCATGAGAGCTGGACGCAGCTCGAATAGGGTTCTATTAGAGCAGGACGCAGCTCTAGTAGGATTCCACGGGAGCTGGACGCAGCTTCAGTAGCATTCTTTTAGAGGTGGGCGCAGTTCTAGTATGATTCTATTATAACAGGACGCAGCTCTATGGGAGCTGGACGCAGCACCAGAAGGATTCTTTTAGAGTTGGACGCAACACTGATAGGATTCTATTAGAGCTGGACGCAACTCTAGTAGTATTCTTTTAGAGCTGGACGCAGCTCCAGTAGGATTATATTGGAGCTGGGCGCCGCTCTGCTAGAGCTGGACGCAGCTCTAATCGGGGTCTTTCCGAGCTGGGCGCAGCTCTAGTTGGATTATATTAGAACTGGGCGCAGCTCTATTACGATTCTATTCGAGCTGGACGCCGCTCTAGTAGGATCCCATTCGAGCTGGACTCAGCTCTATTAGGATTATATGAGAGCTGGGCGTCGGTCTTGTAGGATTCTATTGGAGCTCGACGCTGCTCTCGCACGATTCCGGTGGAGTTGGGCGCAGCTCCATCTGGACGCAGCTCTAGTAGTATTATTTCAGCGCTGGGCGCAGCTCTAGTAGGATTCTAGTAGAGCTGGACGCAGCTCTAGCAGGATTCTAGTGGAGCTGGGCGCAATTCCAGTTCTAGTAGAGTTGGACGCAGCTCTAGTGGGCTTCCTTTCGAGCTGGACGCAGCTCTAGTCGGGTTCTATTAGATCCGGGCGCAGCTCTATTTGGATTCTATCAGAGGTGGACGCATATCGATTTAGATTATATTGGAGCTCGACGCGGCTTTAGCAGTATCTATTGGAGATGGACGCAGCTCTAGTAGGATGCTATTGGAGCTGGACGCAGCGTTATTCGGAGTCTATGGGAGCTGGGCGCACCTCTAGTAGGATTCTATTAGAGCTGGACGCAGCTCTAGTAGGATTCTTTGAGAGCTGGGCGCAGCTCTTATAGGATATTTTAAGAAATGGACGCAGCCTTCAGTAGGGTTGTATTGGAGCTGGACGCAGCTCTAGCAGGATTCCATTGGAGCTGGGCGCAGTTATCGCAGGATTCTATTAGAGCTGGACGCAGCTCTAGTCGGATTCTATGAGAGCTGGACGCAGCTCTTGGAGGATGTTGTCAGAGTTCGACGCAGCTCTGGCAGGATTAAATCAGAGCTGGGCGCAGCGCTATTCGGATTCTATTAGAGCTGGACGCAGCGTTAATCGGATTCCATGCGAGCTGGACGCAGTTCTAGTAGGATTCTATTTGAGCTGGACGCACCTCTAGCAGGATTCGATTAGAGCTGGGCGCAACCCTAAAGGAATTCTATGAGAGCCGGACGCAGCTCTAGTAGGGTACCATGCGATTTGGACGCAGCCTTCAGTAGGGTCTATTGGAGCTGCTCGCAGCTCTAGTAGGACTCTATTGGAGCTGGGCGCAGCTCTAGTAGGATTCTTTGAAAGCTGGGCGCAACACTAATAGGATTCTGTTGGAGCTGGACGTACCTGCCGTAGGATTTCTTATTCGAGCTGGACGCAGTTCTAGTCAGACTGCAGTGGAGCTGGACGCAACTCTAGTCGGATTTTATGAGAGCTGGGCGCAGCTCTAGTAGGATTCTACTAGAGCTCGACGCAGCTTTAGTGGGAGTCTATGAGAGTTGGACGCCGCTTTAGTAGGATTCTGTCAGAGTTGGGCGCAGCTCCAGTAGGATTCTATTAGAGCCGGACGCAGCTCGATTTGGATTCTTTTAAAGTTGGACGCAGCTCTATCCTATTGGAGCTGGACACAACTCTAGTAGGATTCTATGAGAGCTGGACGCAGTTCTAGTTGGATCCTATTGGAGCTGGACGCAATTCCTAGTATAATTTTGATAGGTTTGCTGTACGAGCTCGCTTCACTGGCGCGCTCATCCATGTTATGTTGAGAATTGAGTTGGGAACTCGAACTGGGAGTTCTGATTGATTCATTTCCATTAGCTTGTGGTGGTGCTGGTTGCGCCGTTGCGGTTGCGCCCCCCCCCTTGCAATTGGGGAGCCGAGTGCCAGTAAACAGGGGAGGCCAGGGATCTGGCACCCTGCCCCCAGGGTGCCAGAAACCTGTCCTAGGGTTGTTGTTGTTGTTGTTGTTGTTGTTGTTGTTGGTGTTGGTGTTGGTGTTGGTGTTGGTGTTGTTGTTGTTGTTGTTGTTGTTGTTGTTGTTGTTGTTGTTGTTGTTGTTGTTGTTGTTGTTGTTGTTGTTGTTGTTATTGTTCTTGTTGGTGTTGTTGTTGCTGTTGCTGTTGTTGTTTATGTTGCTGTTGTTGTTGAACGTTCGTTTCTGAAGAGTAATTATTGTTGACCCCCCCCCGCCCGGTGCACATGGTATTTGTTCGATTGAAGTGCCCCTTCCCAGGGCTAGCACCCTGTTTTATCAGGGAGCGTCTTGAGGCTCAAATTGTGTCGTTGGCCCCCGGTTTACAACAACAGCAACAACAACAACAACAACATCAACAACAACGGTTCCCGCCGGCTACTTCCTCACATATTTTTTTGAAGAATCGTGCTCTCGCTTGGGACTTCCTGGCAATTTACCACCGAATCGCGGCTCCCGCTTGATATTTCTTGACAATTAATTGCGGAACTGCGTTTTTGTTTGGGACTTCTTCGCAACTTACCACCACACCATTTCGTTGGATCTTTCTTTACAGTTTATTCACATGCCGGTCTTCGACACTCAGGAATCGCGCTCCCGTTACATATTGCCTGGCGGTTCAAGCAGGACCCACGCTTCAACGACCCGCCCGCTCGACCCGCCCGTCGGGGCCTGCCCGCCCGACCAGCCCGCTAATGACTGCAGTCGCCGCTCGCTGCCCGTCGCCCGCCTTCGATGGCCCTCGTTGCCCGTACTGGTTCCGCGGTCGCCTTCGCTCGTTGCCCTTCGTGGCCCCGTTGCCGCCCTCAGTGGCTCCGTCGCTGCCCGTTGTGGCCACGCATTATATGCTCTTCGTGGCCCCCGCTCGCTCGCGCCCGTCGTGGCCCCAGATGCATGCCCTTCGTGGCCCCGCTGTCGCCCTTTGTGGCTCCCTCGCTGCCCTTCGTGGCCCCTTTGCTGCCCTCAGTGGCCCCGCTGTCGCCTTTTGTGGCCCCGTATACGACTGCCCTTCGTGGCCCCCGCTCGCCCGCGCCCGTCGTGGCCCCATATGCATGCCCTTCGTGGCCCCGCTGTCGCCCTTTGTGACCCCCTCGCTGCCCTTCGTGGCCCCGGTGCTGCCCTCAGCGGCCCCGTTCCTGCCTTCGGTGGCCTCGGATTTTATGCCCTTCGTGGCCCACGCTGGCTTTTCTTACGATTTACTCAGGAATCGCGCTATCGCTCGAGACTTCCTCGCGATTCATGCAGGACCCACGCACGCTTCAGCAACCCGCCTGCTCGACCTCGTCGCTTGGGCCCGCCTTCCCGACCTGCCCGCTATGGGACTGCCCACCCGATCTGCCCGCCTCCTGCTAGTTTCTCTCGTGCTCCATTATTATCCCTCCCCTTTTCCACCCTCTCTTCCCTTGTTTTAGGGGCTGCATTAAACCCACGTGGCAGGTAAGGAAGATGTACCCCCAAGGGGAAACGATCGAAGACGACGAGGGCGGGTACCGAGGGTTTGGGATCACTCGGGATCTACGTATTGATTAGCACGTGAGCAGATAGGAGCGAACAGTCTGAGCATGATTGTTGTTGTTGTTGTTGTTGTTGTTGCTGTTGTGTTGTGTTGGTTGTTGTTGGGGTTGTTGTTGCTATTGTTGCTGGTGTGTTGTTGTTGTTGTTGTTGTTGTTGTTGTTGTTGGTGTTGGTGTTGTTGTTGTTGTTGTTGTTGTGATTGTTGTTGTTGTTGTTGTTGTTGTTGTTGTTGTTGTTGTTGTTGTTGTTGTTGTTGTTAGTGTTGTGGTTGTTGTTGTTGTTGCTGTTGCTGTTGCTGTTGCTGTTGCTGTTGCTGTTGCTGTTGCTGTTGTTGTTGTTGTTGTTGTGGTTGTTGTTGTTGTTGCTGTTGTTGTAGGTGGTGGTGGTGGTGGTGGTGGTGGTGGTGGTGTTGTGGTTGTCTTTTATAGCATGGATTTCTTGTTCTACGACGATGTCCTGGCAGGCCTGCCGGAGTGGTGGGGGTCGGTCGCCCCCTGCTCGCCCGGGCGTCGGCGCGCCTGCCGCCGGAGCAGCCGCTCGGGCAGCCCCCCCCCCTCCGGGGGCGCCCGCCGGCCGGCGCCGGGCGCGGGCCTCCTCGGAGGAGTGCAGCCCACTGCAGGCGAGACCGATGGTGAGGATCGAAGGAGGTAAAGCCATAAGGCAAGCCGTGGCGAGGCGTCCTGGCGTGCCTATAGCCCTACCAAACAATGTTTTAAGAACCTTTCTCGTGGTTTCCACGGAATGTTCTTAGAACATGTCTGCCGGAGTCTGTCTTGTTTTATCACATCGGTTTATGTTCCAGGAGCATTGTTTTTGTTTTTAGAACATTTGTGGGTTGTAAGAACACTTCGTGGTAGGACTATGGGAATGCCGGGACGGTCGGTCCCTGCTCCAATAATCACAAGTTGTTCGCGCTCCGCGCGGCTTTCTTGGATCCACCCAGGCGGCGCCTCCGGCGCCCCCCTGCCACGCTCCGCGCGCCAGGACAGGGGGGCCCAGCGCGGTCGTCTCGATGGTTCTTTGGGCAGGCCTCCCCAGGGCGTAAGTCGGGCCCTTGTTATACGGGGGCAGCGAGAGGGGGCGGGATAGGCATAGGGGGGGAAGCATCGACCCCCAATCGCCCTTTCCTCGCCGAGAGGGGCCCGATGGCCCCCACCCCGCCCAGGAAGGTGCGGATTTGCCATCGGGGGCGTATCGCCGATATCCATCGGCGAGGCGTCGCCGATTCCAGGTCGATGGTTCCCTCCCCTCTGCCTATCCCCCCCTTATTGGCTCTACCGTTGCCCCTCAGTGGGCCGGGGGGGAGGCCTACGAGGACTTCGTCAAGGAGACCAACCGCTCGATCGAGGCCAAGAGCAAGGACTGTCCCTGCCGCCGTGCGGCCACGATGTGCCGGGTTTGGGATGCATTTGTTTGGTTCTTGGGGTTTTCGCGCGCGCGCTCTCTCTCTCTCTCTTTCTCGCTATCGCCTCTCTCACTCTCTCCCTCTCTCCAGCTCGTTCTTCGCGCTTTGTTTTGTTTCCTTTCTTTTGCTCCTTCTCTGTCCCTCGTCCTCTCCCTCTCTCTCTCTCTTCTTTCCTCTCTCCCTCTCTCTTTCTTCGTCCCTCGTTCTCGCCCTCTCGTTGTCCCTCTCTCTCTCTATCTCCTCTTTCAGTCTGTACACACATATATATGTATATAGATATGTATGTATATATGTATGTGTGTAAATATATGTAGATATAGAAATACGATATGCACGTTTGTATATCGGCGGCTGTGTGGATCGAGGTGAAACGGAGAGCCCCCGACCGGGAAATCGGTTTCGGTTTCAGGTTCGTGGCGGGCGTGCGGGCGAGGCGAGGCTGCGTGCGTGGGCGGGCGAGAGGAGTGCCTCCGCTGTTGCTGGGGCGGGGCAAGCCAGCCGTCCGAATCTCCCCTGGTCGGCGGATGGCGGCCAGGTTGTCCCGCCGTGGTGTCCTGCCGTGGTGTCCCGTCGGTATCCAGTCGTTGCCCCGTCGCTGTTCCATCGCTGTCCCGTCGCTGTTGCGACGGTGTCCTGTCAGTGTCCCGTCGGTGTCCCACCGGTGTCCCGTCGGTGCCCCTTCGGTGTCCCGTAGTGAGATCGATAGTGAGATCGATAGTGCGATCGATCGTGAGCCCGATAGTGAGATCGATGGTGAGATCGACAGTAAGATCGATAATGAGATCGATGGTGAGATCGATCATTAGATCGATAGTGGGATCGATAGTGAGATTGATGGTAAGATTGATCGTGAAATCAATAGTGAGATTGATAGTATGATCAATAGCGGGATCGATCGTGATATCAATTACATTAGATGTTGGTTCCTCCCCCGGGAACTCCTTGTCACCCGAAGGGTGGTCGTATAGGGAGGAGGGGGAGAGGGGGAGGGGGGGGAAAAGGAGCAGGAGGAAGAGGGGGAGAAGGAGGGTGTTGGCAGTCGCCTTGGGCAGCATGTGTGTCATGGAATGTTTGCCTCGTGTCCGTGGGTCGAGCTCGTTGGCGGGCTAGTTCCCCGTCTGGTTGGCTCGTTGGTGGGCGGTTGGGCGGGTCGTAGCGTGGAGGAGGAGGAGGAGGAGGAGGAGGAGGAGGAGGAGGAGGAGGAGGAGGAGGAGGAGG